TTGTTATACCAGGACAGCTGAAAAGACCTGTTATTTCCCCACTGTGGGACCAATAAAAATGTTTTATTTTAATCTTACGTTTCTCCACCTTTTGCACCAAATTAATCTGAGGAGTTGATCAGCCCTGCTGTTTAACTCTTAAGTTTTTCTCTGTAAACAAGACTGTATCAAACGGCTTCGTCAAAATCTGGTCCACAACATTCAAACTGTCTGCCATTGTGTGCAGCTTGTTACTGGTGTGAGGCTAATGTGAAGTGTGTCTGTCTGTGATGTGCTTTGTGACGGTGGAAGGGCTCAGCAGCACCTGCTGGACAGAAACTGTGATAGACGTCAGAAAGAGTGATAGAAGTCTCTCACCAAACATAAGCAGCTACAGAAATAGCACCAGAAATAGAAGCTCGATTTGTCACTAGTTGTTTTTTTACAAAGAAAATGTAGCTAATTGGATTAATAAAGTCTCAGATTCAACTCAGAACAGAAACGAAACTAAAAACTGCTACCATGCATGTTTAAACCAAAACTATCACTGATTCGCTCATTTTGCTGTCAATCAAAAAGGGATTCAGCCTCTGACAGATCATCCAATCATCATGCAGACAACGAGCGTCCAACCCAGCCCCCTGCCCCTTAGACCCCCAGAGACGCTCAGCGTCTGATGGGCGGGACAAAGCCAGCATTTATCCAATGACTCGTCTCGTTTTACTGCAGTCTTTGCTTCACTATTGAACTCTGTGGACTCTCAGCGTCTGACTGTTTAAAGCACTGTGAAGCTGTGGGAATGAGGGAGAGGAAAGCTGCATCGTTACCAGTGATAAGAAGATGATTCTGAACAAAAGTTGAGCACGTTATAGTGCATATTTAGTCAATGACATGAACACACAACAGTATATACTGTATACGATCTTTTTTTTTTTTTACATTTTAGTGGAAGCTGAGCTTCCCTTGCAGTCTCAGAGCAATCGCCTCTGCAGCAGGACAACGACCCTCAACATAAAGGCAGGGCTACAATAGAGTGGTTTAAAATAAAATATTTTCATGTGCTTGAATGGCCCAGTTGAAGTCCAGACTTAAACCCAATCGAGTATTTGTGGCAAGTTCTGAAAACTGCTGTTCACAAACGCTCCCCGTCTAATCTGACTGAGCTTGAGTGGTTTAGCAAAGAAAAATGGGCAAAATTTTCCGTCACTAGATGTGCAAAGCTGGTGGAGACATACACTGAAAGACTTGCAGCTGTCATTGCAGCAAAAGGTGGCTCCACAAAGTATTGACTCAGGGGGGCAATAGTGATGATTGTTTGTTTGTTCTCGGTTCTTCACACAGCTGCTGCTCATGTTATTTTTCAAAAGAATGTTTCCATATTAATCATTTTAATTGTATCTTATCTTTTATATAAACTTCTGCATGTTTCATTTTCCTGCTTGAAACCTCTGCAGTCAGAAGCTAAATGTTTAAATAAAGCAACAAACATGAAGTTACCTGAAGTCTATGTCCAGCAGCAGACTTTTCATTGGTTTCTGTTCCAGGTTACGTAGCGTGATCAGTTCCTGTAGCCTGACACACACACACACACACACACACACACACACACACACACAC